GTCATATTCTACATCTTGCTTTCTAATATGGCTACACGTTAATGTGCCTCTATGTCATAATCTCGGTGACTTTTTTGTTGATGACACTGATGGGTTTTTGGTCAAACAGCAAATAATTGTTCTAAAATCAATTCAGCATGGATGACTTCGATTTTAATGGTGGCAGTCACCGTTAAAACTCTTTATGGGGTAAAGTTTGCCATTATCCTGTTAGGGAATGGATCACTATGAAGCGCAGGCTATCGCAGCAAGGAACGCGGGAATCGACCTGTACGCTGTGGGTATTGGTGGGTCGGAGCTAGTGGACAATGATGTACTTGAGGCCATCACCGGCAGCGCCGACCGCGTATTCGGGACCTACAACCCCTGCAGAGTCGCCTACAGTATATTAGGGAATCTCTGCGCATCAGCAGGTTAGATTGTGGTGCAATAGTGAATACCAGAAGGTTTCTTAATTGTGTGGTGGTAGTGTAACATACCAGAAAGAATATGCAAGCTATATCAGAAAGATTTCCACTCGCCTGTCTTCCGAGAGTCAGAAAAACAGAACTAGAGAAAAGGTGTGGAATCCATAAAAAAATCTGCTAACTAAACAAGCTTGCTACAGGCTTCCTAAATACAGTGATTCAAAATGTAACGTTAGAATCACTGTTAGTTTTCTGAATTACGATTTCTTGCTAATAAAAGAAGTACCAATATGCGAACTACTAGTTCAATTTAGCTAAAAAAATATAATTCAATTTTTGTCATTCACCTGTTTGGCAGCTCCTGTTGGCTGCCTGTACAATGGAGCCATCATTCCCGTCGGGGAGGAGTACAAGGTAAGAGGTCTGACGACTGTCCTTCAAAACTGTCATTGCGCCCAAAGGGAGTGAAGAATTATTTTTGTCCTGTCTGATTTAATTGTCTTCCTAAGGCGTGGGTGAGCAATCCGTGGGTAAAGATGACTGTACATGTCCTAAGTGACGTCTGTGGCAAGTTTTACATCATGTGGAAAGTTTTACATCGAAGACATTAGAGCAGGTAGATTACATAAAGTCCTTCGAATCCGGAGGCATGATGATGATTCATGACTACCTACACCTTACAGCCGGATGACTGCACCATGTGCACCTGTCACGCCGCGGGAGAGGCACCGGCCTGCGCCATCTACACCTGCGCACCTCCGGATCCGCCCTGCAGAAACACCGTCAAGGTCGCGGGGCAATGCTGCCCGGTCTGTGATACCGATGGTTAGTCTGATTTGTTATCTTAAAATGAAAACTGTCATCTAGGTTCTAGCACATAGTTGGGGTTTAACCAGAATCAAGACCGTACAGTTGATGAATTTACTTACATCGTTTCAGCTCCGGAAGGCTGTTGGCACGACAGTTACAGTAGCTCAAGTGCCGTCCTCATTCCTGTCGGGATCGAATACAAGGTAAGGGACTGTCAACTGTCTGTCAAAACTGACAAAAAGAGGCCAGAGATTCGAGGATACAGAGAAAAAAGTTCAAACAGCCGAAGTTAACTGTAGCTCAATGCACTCCCTACTTCAAGTACACCATTTTCGTGGGATAAAGAGCCATAAAGTATCGTCAAAATATTCCCGCCATGTTTAACATTGAATGAGGGACGTCGACAGATAGCAGTTTTTGTGAAACTGTAGTTTATTCAGCTTGAACTGGCTTGAGTGTGAACGCAAGCACGTGCACCTGGACTAAGCCAGGTGTAAGTATCTGTCTGAAGGCGACCCGGATCAGAAACAATCCAATATACGATAAGTACTATACGATACGATACGATACGATACGGTAAAAATACCACAGAGGGAAAAGGGCCTAAGAGTAATAAATACTGTACGTCATCGTTGGCTGTGAAAAGGATTCGTATCCAGCATATTGAGTTACGTGTTATAAAAAAATCCAATTATTATCATCAATCCATCATTTAATACCACTCTACAGCCGGACGACTGCACTTGGTGCAACTGCTACACTGTTGGAGAGAGAGCGATGTGCGCGGCTGTGAGCTGCGCGTTCGACTTCTGCACCAACCTAGTGCGGCTCGCGGGGCAGTGCTGCCCGTACTGCCCGGCCTGCTGCCAGGGCTGCTATCACGGAGATGACTTCATCCCTGTGGGAGCCACTTTCCGGGTTAGTTTATGGACACGTGATTTGAGTAGTGGGTCGATTGTGCCGGATAACCTGTACTGTGTCTTCCTCCATTTGACTGTTCAGAGAAGCCTCGGTTTCGGAAGCGGCTAGACTAAAGAGTAGAGAAATAGACAGAAATAACATGCCAGGGGAGTTCGTCCACGTCACTAAGGAGCACTTAGCCACTTCCAAAGCCTTGATGAAGCTACATAGGCTTTTTATATATTAGCTCGACAGATTGGAACTCGACAGATTCACTGAAAAAAAAATGTCCTTATACAATGTCCTTGTTCTAACCTACAAATTGCTGTATCCTGTTCCATTCTTTGCTGCCTCCGCTCTACAGCCGGACCCCTGCACGTTCTGCGGCTGCTACCGCCCTGGGGAACCAGCGATTTGCGCAGTTGCAGACTGTGCCGTTCCGCCCTGCGTTAACCTCATAACGCCCCCGGGAGAGTGCTGCCCTGTCTGCGCTGACATCGGCTGTGAGCACCCCGACGGCATCATCCTGCCGGGCGAACCTTACCAGGTGAGAGCTAGGGCTGACATCTGTCAGTCAAAGCTGAAACTGTAATGATCTGTGGATATAGCTGCCCTTCTGTATCTGTTATATAGATGATGGTATAACCGGCCATCGTCGTAACACACCGGCTTCGCAGGCACGCGGCGCGGCGGCGGTTGGGTGATCTTGGGTATATTACCCGCCCGACTTGTTGCAACTAACATTTGAACAAATAACTCTAAACATGGTTTAAAGCTATCTAATGAGTAATGACAATGCCACTTCTGCTTAACACATCTGAATGTCTGGCACGTGACAGCTGTACTTCACTCCCTCGGCTACCCACAGGTGGATGGCTGCATGACGTGCTACTGCGGAGCCGCGGGACAAGAACCGTTGTGCGCCACCGCAGCCTGCCTTCTTCCGCCCTGCGACACACCGGTACAGATCGCAGGACAGTGCTGCCCTGTCTGTGAAGGTTAGCAACGTGATACATAAACCAAGCAGTTTATCATCAGCAATTTATGATGAGATATCTCAACAAGACTGGCAATGAAAACATTGCCATGGCGACGGTTTTTGTTGATAGGGTTATTGTTTGCATGGCACTACAAAATGTATTACGATTTTGCGGAAGCCTTTGTGGTCTGTCATGATTTTTTTAAAATAACATTTGAGGTCGCAAGTCTCAAGTTCTACGAGCCCCAGGGCTCGTTCACTACGCACTCGGTGGAGGGTAGAAGTGATCTACTGAACTGCACTGTAGTATTTGTCCAGACTTAACAAGTAGCAAGGAACAAGGATACTTTCCTATAGTTATCATCGGCAGCAGTATAAGAATAAACATCGATAGTCATCAGTTTCATTCCATCTTTAGTGGATCACTCCTACCCTCCCCTGGGTGTATAGTGAACAAGCCCTGGGGTCACAAAAGTAGGGCATACCCGGCAGCCACAATGTTCCAAGGGTTTCCAGGAAAGGGTCTGACTGTGGGCATAAAAGTGTGTCAGCAAGCTAGGAGACATTCCTGTGAACATCCCATGCCTGTGGATAAAATGCCCGTACAATTCCTAGAATTCTTGCAGACTGCACACAATACCGTCCATGAGGTGTCGCCAAAAACGTCTTACTAGATTTATTTATTAAAGTGGGTAGATATTTGACAAGTGGATTCGGGAACTGTAGTCATTTTCAATGAATAAATGAACTTGTGGTGGTTGTCAAGATAAATCAAGAATGTACGTATGTAGGCTTTGGGACCTAGGTTTTAAGTTGTCTGGGGGCTACATTGTATGTTTCACCATGATTGTAGCTGTTTCTTTGGCCAATCTCTTGTCAGTGGAAAGTAGTTCAAATTTGGTAAGATATTTCACTTTGTCCAATGACATTTTATATCTACTACGCCATTGTTGGGTGACATATGACAAAGTTTTGACTGGAATATCAGACTGTTGTATAAAACAATATTAGTGATCAACTGATGTCAATTTTCAGCTCCAGAGGGTTGTCCATACAATGGTATGATCATCCCCCTGAATGACAGTTTCAAGGTGAGATATTACTGACACTTGTCTATTGAAAACAGCTGTCCCAATGCAATGGGGTTTGAAATCCTCAGAGATGACATGTTTGTTCATATTCTATGTACATTCAATACTGATGTCATAGTATGACATAGTAAATGTCATTATTACCGTCATTATAATTTCCCGTCAGAACGACCTGTACTGAGCACATTGAGAGTGGTATCACAGACATTCCATTCATTTCTTCCTCCATCCTACAGCCGGACGACTGCACTACGTGCACCTGCTCTGTAGCTGGTGAGGCGCCTTTGTGCATAGCTGTGTCTTGCGCACTTCCACCCTGCCCCGACCCGGTAAAGATCGCGGGGCAGTGCTGCCCTACCTGCCCTTAGAGGATAGTGAGCCCATCTAGAGGGAGGTACAGAATTTTGTATCTCACTTTTCTGAATACATAACTACTTCTACTCATGATTTCATCTGCCAAAGAAACTTTCCTAATTTCAGATGTTCATCCTCGCACTGCACTGCATTGTTCACTAAAATCATCAAAATGTTCATGGTTTTGACTTTTCAATTTTCTTATCTATTGATAGGTAAACCGTCCAGAGTGGAGACAGCTTGCTGCCCTATGTACGTGCCACAAGGCACGGGAGGACCGTAAGTCCACTTAGTAACAGGTAAATCAGCGATTGCTGGAAGCAAGGCAGCCTTACAGGAATGAGAGGAGCGGATCGTCTTCCGTGTGTCCCCAAATAAAGTTTGGTCTCCACGATCAGTTGCTCACCTTGTCGTTTCTGCTTTATGATGCTTTTCCCCCACTACATTCAGCCTCGTCACTTCCGTAGTTGCCATCTTTATTCATCATAACACATTTGTACAGAAATCTGCATGTAGGAAGTTACCAGAGAACATAAACTACAGACAACAGAATGGATAAACTGTGTACCTTGAAACTTTGAAGCAAATTCAACAAACTGGGACTGACAAAGCTTTTCCCTAGTCATATCATCATTTTTACTGCATTTTGTAATTTTCTATTTTCATAATATAGAGGCTTCATCTATTGTTAATCATCATTGGACTGATATAGATTATACAACACTAACTTCTACCAAAAAACATAGCTTTGGGACATACACATGATGTTTGACAACTTGAAACAAAAATGACACTTTCACATTTAACTGAATAAAAGCCTCTTTCGTGGAGAAAAAAGCCCCCTTTGTTCAAGACCCAAAAACACACAATCACGACTCAATTTTTTTTCCTCTTGTTTTTTAAAAATCACAAACTTCGAGATTTCCACCAGCAAGGAAACCAAATGTACATAATTCTTTTTTACATGTTGTACTTCTAAAATACAACCACTGTTGGCTGTCCAGCATAGACTTGTAAATCAAGATTGCAAGGATTACAAATGTAATCGTAATTGACAAGAAAGTGGTCTATAGAAGTGAGTATATGAAAGTGGTCTTTACATGTCTGGGTGCTGGTCATTTTGAAAATAGGGCAGGGCACTCAGTTTAATTGGACAATATGGTAACATGACACTGAACATCATCCAACAAACTAGCTAACTAATCAATCCAAGCTTACAAAACACACACACACTCAAGCTGAAATTGTTCATGCCAATTACAAAAGGCATAATGTTCCATGAAAGGCCAGTAGTACATATATACAGGGTTGCTCAGACAAGGTGAGACATTGCTGCCTACACTTCATCAAGCTGCCATGGAAAGAATTGTTCATCCAGTTACAACCAATCTCGCACAACTGGTGCTACAGCACAGTGGACACAAGGCAGTCTGACTTGTGGCTACAGGTCCCTGTGAGTGGTGTTTGTCTGGTGTAGTGAGCTGGCGTGTTGTTGGATGAGTTCCTCCACACACTGCACCAGCCTGCTCAGGTACAGGCTCCCAGCCGGGACAGCACACAGGGCACTCTCCACTGCAGACGGGCTGGACAGAGGGACAGACGTATTAAATCTATTCATGTATGTAGTGATCAGCTTCCTAACACTGCCTGCAGTTACACACGGTTCACAGGAGAGGGGCTGAAACAGGGGTAGATTTTGTACATTGTTTTACAATACAGGCTTTTCATATCATACTGACAGGCTCACACCTCCATACTGCAATCCATAAGAAAGTCCCTTGCAGTGTGTGAAGAACAGGGAATCAAACGACTGAAAAGTAGGCTGGCAGTTCAGATATGCTGCATGCTAGGACAATGTCAGTGGTTGAACACCTGCAAAATGTAACATTGTTACACCTGGATTCTTACCTGATGGCACCTATCCTGTGGGTACAGGTGCACTTGACCACTTGGTTCGGGTAGGCACCCGGGGTCAGGCTGAAGGTCACGAAGAACTTGGCGTGTGCCTCGACGTTAGAGAACTCCACAGTCAGGCTGCAGGGCACAAACAGATCATGAGGTCAGAGGGCAATGATCAGGGTGTTAGCACAAACATATCATTATATTGAAAGGGCGAAGTTCTTTAAATTGGATAAAACATATGATACGACAGAAACAATTTTTCAAATCACTTTGTGATACTTCACTATAGGCATTTCAATTCCACAAAGGCTAACAAATCTTTATAATCTTTATCTTTATGGTCATATGTCTCCAAAGGATTAACAGAATGCTTGACATAAAGTTATAATAGTATAGGGCAGCTGGTATAGAGCATTTAAAACATCATTGCACACACAGTATGATGTACATGGCTTTAATGATGGGGTCTAAATTCAGGTGACCAGGGTTGAATGCCCTGTACAGAGAGATAAACTTGTAAGACAACCCACTCTGTGCCGTCCACAGTGGTGAAGGGGTGCCTCAGGATGACATCCTGTACTTCATCCCCCAGTCTGCGGGCTTCAGACACCAACAACGACACTCTGTGCAGCAGCTGATGGGAGAAAAGTGGGGAAAATGTACAAATGCATATGTTTTTGCTGTTAGCCATAGAGAACAATAGTTTACTGTGGCTAACTTTAGAATTGCAACTCGTTTGAACAGCTGTCAAGTTGGGTGCAGGAACAAGAAGGATTTAAACTCCCAACCTTCTGGTTCAGAGGCAGGATTACTTTCCACTGGACCTAACATGCTATTAGAACAAACTATACAGGAGTTCTCAGTAGAACATGATTCATTCCAATTGACTGAAAAAAGCCTGGAACAAGCTGAAACAAGAAATAAAATAGGATAGAGAAATGCCATACCTTGCTCTGTGTAGGAAAGGTTGGGTAGGTGTGTACCAGCTGGGGCTGATCCAGCGCCCCCAGGACCATGTGATGACACAGGTGTGCCCAGGGAGCGGCCTCGTCTGCCAACAGGGACTCAAACCGGATGTCTGCAATCTTCTGACGATCATCTGTGGGATGGACATACCAACAAGTAAGTAATTTACTTCAATAAGGAACAATTGCAAGAAATTCCTGACTAAAAACTTTGGTGTTAGTAAGAATATGTTCTTAAAATTTGAATTTGTCATTATAAAATAATGTAAGGCTCATTTCATAGGCTGGTTCAGAAAAGCTACTATTTTCAGGTAACCAGTTTTGCTCATCAACTAGCCAAGAAAATCACCACCACATGATTTTACAATGACAAGACCTTCAAATTACTAAATTAAGGCAATACTTATTGAAACATCTCTTGAGTGGTGAAGTAATTACTGAATCACCACTCACCCTTCACACCAGCATATGCAACAGTGAGGAGCAGTGATTTCTGAAGAAACGTCACACGCAGCTGGGAGTCTGTCAGCTCCTCCAGGTCCCACTCCACAAGGCTGGGGGAACAATGCAAATTAGACCTGCAGTTCCACATTAAGCTTCTGGGGGAACAAACATTTACCACTTCTTCCTGAGCTCAATAGCTACCTCACCTACCACTCAGAAATCATGACAATATCATGTATCTTGCTAATATTGCTAGACAACATACGAAAGGAGATTCAACAACTTATTAATTATGCAACAAAATGATAAAAATGTTGACTTCTTCATCAGTCCCATCCTTCAAGAGGGGCCTTTAAACGATGAGTACGAAATGTGGGCTGTGGCCCTTTAATACTCACCCCTGCAGCCTGTTGAGTGCCCTGACCTGCTCCTCCCGCTTCTCCACTGCGGTGCTGTCCTCCCCCTCCTGCTGTAGGCCCAGCTCTCTCCCCTGCAGCTGCAGCTGGTCCACCTGCAGCTCCAGAGACTCCCTCTCCTGCTGCAGGCTGCTGAGGGTGCTGCGAGGGAAGAAATAACTGAACTGTCAGGACATTGTATGGTCCCCTGTATTCAGATTTACTTGGCAACTACAAGCACTAAAACAAGGTACATGACCACAAAATACTTTTGAGACACTGTAAATTACAAGCACTACTAGTCCATATACTTGTTACGTGTTACATAGAAATAAAAATACCTTTTCAAATGTTCCTGTTCCTGACGAGATGAGGCAAGTTCTGAAACAAGTGTAAAAATACCACATGTATTGAGGGAACAGATATATCAAATTAATCATTGCACAGAAATCAACACACTCATACATGGGGCAGATGGTGCATTGGGACTCTTAAAAGCTTTTATCCAGTTTTTTAAATTATTTTATATAATGCAGTATTTTATATGGATGTCTGACTATCAACAATGTATGTGTAGTTTTTTCTTTGCTGCAATGCTGGTCTGCATTTGTGATGTCAAACTGTAGAAAGTCCAGACTCACCCTCCTCTTTCTGCAACAGCACAGCCTGTTGTTCTTTATATCTCTGTATGTCCTCATCTGATGGGAGAGTCATCCCCTCCAGATTTGCAATGGCATCTTCCAGATCCTTCTCAACTGAAACAGAGTCATTGTTGCAGTAACATAAGTAATTATCTTCAAGAATAGAAAGCTTGTAGAAAGATTATTTTGACAAAGGTATCATTACATAGCTTTCTTGCATTTTTCATTACAATAAAAGATAGGAATTACTAGCAAAGTTTGGCTTTCTTTGCAATCTTACAAACTCACCATCGTCCAACGTAGCTAAACTCTGGTCTATTTTCTGTAGAGAAGCATCCAGCTCTTCCACACCTGTCTTCATGTCAGCATATTCTTCCTGCAGAATAAACAAACACCCGATTGTAAGTACAATGTAACACAACAAATGCAATCTTAGCATCTACCCAAACACAAGTCATGAGGGCCAGACTTTTAATTAATTCTTTCTTTACTGATCTGATTTGCCTAAAAAAATGATGATATGTATTTCAAATAAATTCTGCAAACCTTCAGTGATTCCACGACGGCACCTGTCATTTTACAGTTCCACTCGTGCCACTCAGTCTTGGCTTGTTTCTTACAGCAGGACCTCAGGGATTCCATGTCCTTCTTCAGGTCATCAACCTGGGAAATACAAGCAGTGGGTGTCAGAAATAAGATGCCAATTTAGGACATATCAATTCAACTTGTTATGGGATTTTAAAAACACTGCTCGGCTGGAAGACATACATGAAGACAGGGTCTGAGGGAAAATACAGAATGTAGTCAGAAGTTTTCATCCCAGCCACAGTTATCATTTGAACCTTTTGCTCAATTTTATAAACGTCTGAGAACTAGGGAAATAATTGGCATGGCCATTCCACTTTGTTACTAGCCAAAATACTAACTTTGATAGTTCTACCAGCTGAAGTGGATACATGAATTAGTTGTACCTAAGTTCATGTGACTCAAGGTCTTTGCTGGACCCATCCCTGCCTTTTCCCTGAGAATATCAGAAATTTTCCCGTTTCTGACTTCCCTGTCTTGTTTTAGGATGAGGATTTGGTTTTGCTTTCCCTGCAAAAGGAAAGACATTTCTTGGAGATTTGTTCCTGTGCCTTACCTCCTTCAGCTTTCCATCTTGTATCATCTTCTGTGCTTCTAAGAACAAGGCAGGGTTCTCCTGGTCCAGCCGCTGCTCCTGTTGTTTCACAAGTTGTCGTGTGCTGCAGGACATGGACAGAAATAGGATTGATCCTGAAGGTGAAAGTGATTGCAAAACAGTTCAATGAAGATCACCGAAGAGCTAATCTTCCACAGGTTGTGACAGGAAAGACAAATGATACGTATGGGTTCAAAAGTTTCTTTAAAGTTCCCTGTGTTCAAAGCCCTTGCTGATATTAAAAACAATAACAAAGAAAGCCTTGGAGTGGCCAGAAACTCTGAGGAAAAGTGAAGCCTTCAAGGTTAGGATATTCTATGTACACAGACCTGCTGATATGCTCCTGTAGTTTGTTACAGCTCCACTCGTACATGTGAGCCTGGGGCAGCAGGATGCTTAGGATCTCCAGGTGTTCATACAGGATCTCAGGTGGGTCGCTCTGTAAACAATAAACAAACAAACAAATGAACAAAAAAATGTTCATATAGCTTGGGTGGATCAATCTCTACTCAAACGGCCCAATAGCATTCATAGAGGTCGAAAAAGTTGAATCTTTGGCAAGTAAACAAACACACACAACAATATAGGGGTATGAGGCTAGCAGTAAACTAGCTAGTGTGAACACTCAACTATATCATAAGTTGGATTCAGAGTGGAGCAAAGTTGAACTTCATACATGTGTACATGGCACTGAGATACACAGCGACACATATAAGTCACCTTGATAAGCGGCATAACACTCCTCCTGTCCTTGCCCTGGTCCTGGAAGACGATGTTGCAGTAAGTCAGGAACTGGGACACCGACAGCCTGCCCTGCTGGGGGAGGGTCTGCAACAACAGCAAACATATCAGTGGTGAAA